CACAAGATGTTCTTGAAGCTAGAAGTGATTTGGAGAATAAGCTTTCCTAAATAATATCGCAGATCCATGTGAAGGAATAAGAATAACACAATGAACAAGTAGTTTATGAACATGTGATGAATGTTTTCTGTTTTTCAAACTATTCCCAAATGCTTTATCCTACTATTTATGAACTTATACTCTCATAAAAAGGACTTTTGTCTACCTTTTATTCTGTGATGCAAGTTTTTTTATGTTTTGTTATTCTTTTTTTGGATAATTTGATTGTACTAATGGAATTGCTGGCAGATCCAACAGGACCTAATTATTTTGGAAAAGAGAGCACTATTGTTGGAGGCAATTAAGAAAGAAAGTTTAGAATGGAGTGGATATCCTTGAATTTTGTCCAGTACTCTACAATATCTTGGCCACTAATCTTCATACTGAATGAAAACCCTCAAAGAGAAAAATGAAAACTGCTGATTGCACAAACAAAAGGCACATACATGCATTCAAAAATACTTTGATTAGTTATATTGTGTTGTGGATATCAGGGTCACCATTCTCTCTTCATTATGCAATAATGACGAAGGACACCGTGCATTATTTATGTCGAACTAGTTTATTTGAAATTTTTGGGAATTTCCCACCTTCTGAAATGATGCATTAATGTCTTAATGATAGCTTTAAAGTTTATTATTTTCTTTGCATCTTTTCTTTTTTATTTTCTGTAAAGAGTATTGTTTTTATTAGCTTGGTGATTATTGTCTACCAAGATTGGAACCTAGTTGTGATTCTCGACTGTTATTGAGTTATTTTTGTTGTTTAATGGATATTGGATTGTTTCATACTTCCATTATTGACAGTAAAGCTTGATAGACTTTTCATTAATTTCTTAGCGTTCCCCTTAATCTCACTGGTAATTCATGAATCACGATCATGTCCCAATCCCATTTTTTTTATTTCACCACTAAGGCTTGTACAGTTTTGATGCATGGTTCTCTGCTTTTTATCTGAAGGTGCCTATTTTTATGAGAATACTATTATAGCTGGTTGATAAATATCTTGCTAATGCTTGTTTAGGTTTCCCTACTTCAAGTTCATAAACTGCAACAACTTCAAGTTCCAGTTTTGCTAGTCCAATAACGTCATCTCTGGTTCCGTCTTCCAATAGTGGATATGTATGCCTCCTGATGTATAAATTTTCTTCTATCTTTTTGTGCAGTAGAAAATTAAAATTTAAGGATTTTGATTATTATAATATATGAAACTTATTGCTTATCTTGGTATTTGAGTTGTAGCATGGGATCCTATTACGAGGAAATTAGACACTGGGCACTAGCACGGGTAGTTTTTAAACTTTACTTCCAACGTTAATCTATAGGTGGTTTACTACCATCATTGAGATTAGTCAATTCAGTAATTTTATGTTTTTTAAAATTTTTTAGAATCTGGGGATAATAAATTTTTAACCAAGGGTTAAATTGTTCTAAAAATTGCTACTAAAAATCATACAAAATCATATCCTTCGTAAATGTCGAAAATGTATATTTCACAGTGTTTAATAAATGTATATTATTGTTGTCTCACAAATAACTAATTTTTGTCAGGTAAACTCAGTGTGGTTTTATATGCACAAATTATTTAGTGTGTTGAGACTAGGATAACTTCAAATTGTAATAGGGTGATGTAGGCTACCAGGATGTAGTTGAATGTTCTCATGTCCTCTTGGAGACAGATAAATGCATTTGTTTTTTTGTTTTTTTAAACCTCAAATGTAGGAGAAAGCTAGAGCAATTCGCATAGCGAAAATATCTACATTCATTTACATTAGATGGATTCTTTACTTTATTGGTTGGTGTGAGTGATTATTCATGAGTACAACATCAACTGTTAGTTAAAGAAATTCTCACTATATTACAATAGTTCTAATAATATTCAACACTCTGCAATGAAGTACCAAGTAGAAGATATTTATTGTTGTTGGCACGTCACATCTGTTATATATATCTAACTTGAAGGTTGTTCCGGTTTGTTTCATATGCTATTTGTTTAGCTATCTTCACACTCTATCCTCATTTGATATTGATAACGACTACATAGTGAAGTCCAATATATAGGTCATACTTATATTTCATACACTTTCGTCTTTCTCGTATTCATGGAAAGTATGCAAAATGATATAAATGTTGCCTCTTAAGATTTT